CCTCGTCCGTATCCTCACGAAAGTCAGATCAACGTCACTGCACGTGTGCGGGCATTTGTGTCATCGTGCAACCACCTGGAGGCGAACAGCAAAGTCTGGTCCACGTCTGGATGCAAGGTGAGGGCATGTGGATTTGCTTTGCCAACTTGGGTTTGCAATTATTTTGAAGTAGCGATGAGCAACGATGAAAAGCGTTTCGACCATTCCTTGGAGTCTCAATCGTATTTGCGGATGAACGGAGCCACTCAGTGAGCCAAAGCATAAATGCTTTGAGAAGAAGGCAATTCGGCAGTCGTATGACAAAGCGACAAGCCTCTTAGCTAGGGTAGGGAAGTCAGAAACTGCTATTCGGTGACATCAGTTTAGTTGGTCTCTCCCAATTAGTTGCCCGCATTGATGTGAGCATGTTGCCGCCAATGTCTGCGATGTCACACGTCAGCTTTGTCGCCATCGTTATCCCACGATCTCGCGTACTACGAGGGGTTGGTGCAGAAGCAGTGCTTGGTCAAAGGTGACACAACGGTTTGTGCATTCAACTGTAGGTAATGCGTGAAACAACCGCCTCAGTCGTGGTATGCGAATGCAATCATTTGACAGCATTTGCGGGTGGATTCAACGCCCTCGCAACAGTGGTGTCGCATCGCCCAAGCCAGCTGAGAGGTGGGCAACCACAGGCACGTCTTATCAATGGGACAGCCTCCGCTTCCCCACTCGCGCTGGTGAACTTCATTTTGCTTCTTCAAAGAGGCCTTTTACGTGCTTTTTGGATGTCTGCACTTTCTGTCCTCGTCACTGCCCTCCTAATTCCCATCCCATAATTGCTGCTTTGACTGTCGGAACAAATGCAATGAACCACTTTGACCCCCTAATTCGTTAAGTCCTCGTCACTCCGAGGTGCTGTGCGTTCCCAGTAAACGAGAGAGGGAGAAACATTCATTGGTAAAATGGCATGAAATCGAAGAGGTGTCGGACTTTAAAGTGTCCACTGTGGGTCACCTCGATAAGCATGGGGATGTCCATGCCTGTCCAACCTTTGAACCGATATAAGGTAAAGAATGCAGCAAGGCATGGAGAGGTGAACCTCCCTGCTAGCCTCTTCTTGCAGTGAAATAAAGCATCTGAAGCAGAAATGAAACCGTGTATCAGTTGTGCCTTTGGTTATCGTCGCTTTACAATTGCTGCACTAGTGTTGAAATCAGCCATCACCGCCGTTGACGATTGTAAAGCTTACTCATCCTCCATGCATGCGCAAGTGAACGCGAAAAGCGCAGGGCGGCAACTCTACAACCTTCGGTGAGAGGTTGTGGGAAGCAGGAAGGCAGCGTTAGCTGGTCATAGTGAAGTTGGAATTCAGGTGACGGTGTAGAGTGCTTCGTTTCTCTCGAGGTAGAGGTGAGTTTGAGGTACAGCAAGCTGAGATCTAACGGATTTACAATGTGGAGGGACGCAGTCAAGTGCTGTACTCGACACTGACTGGTGAATAGGACACGAATCGACAGTGTAGTTGTTGTGTGCATCGTGCAACTCACCTGAGAAGGAAAGACGAGGTGAGAAGACAAGGAGCGATGGTGGACTGCTAAAGATCATGTCTGCATGATGTTTGCGCAAAATCTGTATGTGACTAACATTGACCGTTGTCAGTGCGACAATTGTGAGCATCAGTGCATTGAATGGTGGGAACATTGCATGACTGAGAGGTGGAATTTGATTGTTGTGCCATTTCTGTGACACAGATGGTGAATAGGATAGAAAAGAGCAAAGATTTGGACTGAGCTACTTTGTGTTCGGCATTCGCCCTGACTAGTGTGATTTTGGCTGGGTTGAGTACTTTGTGTGTGTCAACGCCCCGAGGTGCTAAGAATGCGGCTCAAGGTCAGCTGCGTTGGGCATACACACAGTTGCCCGCGGCGCTCTCCCACACCTCCAGACTCTTCGCCATGGCAACGGCTATGAATTTTGTTTGATCACGCACCAACTTTGCCACAGCTGCGTGAATGCGATTCCGTAGAGCAGGATTCCCCGTCGCCGTAGTGATGCTTCATCGTCATGGGCTACACAGAGCGCTAAGGTGAACTCTCGTGCACATCGGAGAGGATGATGGTGAGAACGATAGTCAGTGGAGGGAAAGTGGTGGAATGGAGGAGGAGCACTGTGTTGGATGGGTGAATGAGAAATCAAAATGAGTGTAGCGAGGTAACAGTGAATGGACAACACGCGGCTGTAAAGTATTCGACAATATTTGTGCTTTGCAATGGAAGGGGGGTGGAGGATTAGGTAGAATGGACAGTGAAGAATGAGAAATGGGAGGAGTGCAGTTGCGACCTGAGGGTACAAACACCGTGCGATGAGAGCAGAGGATTTTGCAAGCGTTAAACAGAAGACAGCATCTTTGTCCTCCCTCTGAATGTCAAGCAGTTGCACGGGAACGCCACCTAGCGATCTGCCTTTTGGAAGGTTCTTGCACAACGTAGACGCTGATGGTACGGCAGGGCGTTTTTCTGCGTTTGCACCGGCGTGAAATGCAGAGGAGGCACATTTTGACAAGGCCGACGGTGATGAGGTCTGTAATGCTAGCGATGAGGCCTGAATATGAAAGCCCGAGGGGAGTGCAGGTGAGAACGACAACACTGCAGTAGAACAGCCAGGTTGCGAGGGATATTGCAATGTTCTCGAAGGCGTCAAATTTGTCCTGAAATAACATAAATGCCATTGGTCACAGTGGAGAAGGTGGAGGTGCCAGTCGTGGATGATAAAAAGGG